GGGACGTGAGGGGCGGAAATTCCGAGAAAAAAATATTTTACGTCATTTTATTTAAAAATAATAATGATAATTAACGGGTTTTTCTTTTTTTTTTTAACTGACCGACGTCAATCGAATAACGTAAATCATTTTCGCGGGCAAAAAAATAAATAATTAACCGAAACGTAAATAATCATTATTAATATATTTTTTCCATTAATTTTAATTTAATTTAACAAAAAAAAAAGAAAAGGAAATAAAAAAATTTCACGGAGAAAGTTTGCAAACCGTTAACAAGTTTATCTGGTTTATGAATGAGCCTAAACAAGGTACAGAAACTTTGTCTTATCATCATCATTATCATCATCATCGTGTCTATTCACCATGTAAAAAAAAAAAAAAAAAAAACCTGATTTCCATCAATGCTTTAATCACAAATCGCCATTTTTTTTTCCTTCATCGTCATTACTACGTCAACTCCTATAATAATAATAATAATAATAATATAAAAAAGTTTGTTTGTTTGTTTGTTGTTGTTGTTGATATTGACATTGAATTTTATTGTAAACAAAATATTTATCCAGGGAACAAAAAAAAAAAAAAAAAAAAAAAGAAAACAAACTTTCACTCGTTTGTTGTTGTTGTTGTTTGTTTGTTTGTTAAAATCGTCATCGTTTCCTGTCAGAGGTTGAGCCTAATTTTATTATTATTATTATTATTATTATTGTTTTGCGTTGTTATTGAGGTCGCAAATTTTAATTTTTTTTTTTTTCAATAATCAATATCAAAACAAATTTAATTCTTCCTATATTTTATTTAATTAGTTATTAATGTAAAGGTTTAAAATAAATGATAAATAATTTATTAAGATAAAAAAAAAAAAAAAAACAAATTTATTAAATATTATTATTATTATTATTATTATTTATAAAACAATTAAAATTAATACAAAATGATTATCATCCCGAATTCTCTAATATTTTAACATGACGTCCGCCATTTTGTTTCTTTTTTAAATAAATGAATTTTAACAACGATAAAAAACAAAAAAAATTTTTTTATTTGCGTCACGCTAATTATTTATTTTAATTAATTAAATAAATAAATAAAAGTCTAATAATTAAATGCAATTAATTTAATAAGGATGAAAAAACAATTTTAAAAAATGACTAAAGTTTATCATTATTAACGAATCATCTGGTAACAATTTTATCTAAACTATAACATTGACGACATAATATATTTTTAAGTATTTGAAATAAACTTGATTATTATTAATAAATCAAAACCTTTGGTTATTATTATTATTATTAATTTGAAAATTTTTTTTCGACTAAAAGTACTAAATCTCAGTCTTGCGACAAATTATTATCATAAAACTTTATTCTATATAAAATAATTTTTATAATAAACCTGTACACACTAAATAACTTCATATAAGTTTTTTTTTGTTCTTATTCACTACATCATTCATTTTCACCTGCAAAAAAATATTATTATGTTTATTTATTGAATTTTATTATTAATAAGTTTATATTCTTTAATGTATTATACAAACCGATTGTTTTTGTTTTAGCTTTGGTTTTCGAATCGTATTTTTCACTGAGATATGTTAGGAAATCGGTAAGATTTTCAAATTCTGTTCTTTCATCACTATTTGTAACTTTGTGTTTTCTTAAACTATTTACTTTAGCCCTTAAATCATCTAACTGTTTATAAAGGAAAAAAGAAAAAAAAATTATTAAATTTTTTTATCAATGTCAGTTTGTAACCGTACACGAATTTTTTTTTCATACAGACATTGTTTATGTTGGCCCATTTACAAAATCCAAATATGGCAACAGAAAATATTCCAACTGATATAACTGTAGAGACTGCAAGAGCTCTGAATGCCAAAGCTGTAGGACTTTCCAAAACGACTTTGGGTTCGACATTCAGATCTTTAAAATATTCTTTACTTTTTTTTTTTGCTATTTTGGTAGCGACAACTCCTGCGATAACTGCTGCTGTTCCTGAAAGTCCTAATGCATAAGCTCCCACTGAAACAGGTAATAAATAAAGTTTTATAATAAAATTCAATAAAAAAGTAAAATAAATTTTTTGTTTGTTCAGTAGCAAAAAAAAAAAGCCTAAAATTTTTTTACACGAAATAAATTTACAAAATACGTGATTATCGTTCGAACGATTGTTTGTTTTACTAAAAATCACTTTGAAAAAAAGGTAAAATGATATAATTTTATATTAATAATTAAATTTCATACTTAAAAATTGATTTTTATATTTTTCATCTTTTTGGTTAGTCTCAATATCTGCGGATGCATTATTTACATTCATTTTTAATTATTATTACGATAATGGCAGTTATATTACATATAAGTTTTACAAAAAAGATAAAATTAAAGTTTTTTAAATTCTCCACAAAAATTTACAAATTTTTTATTCATGATTTTAAAATTACAATAAAAAACATTTTACGGTCTGAATATCGGGGGCACATGAATAAAGTTTCGGTTAGTAAAAA